GTGGGGGCGCTGAGGGCCATGGCAGGGGGCAGCCCCCCAGCATCTATCCTGGATGGGGGGCAGCTCCCCGGGGAGACGTGGCTCTTCTTGCAGGTATTTCGGGGGGGCAAGCTGGGGGGACCCCCTGCCCCTCTAGTGACAGGGCCACAAAGAACCAAAGTCCAACAGTCCCCCTGTGTCCTCTCCTGACACCCCTTGGGCCCTTTGTGCAGCTACAGAGGTGGTGACACCTCCAGCTCAGCCACCGCACAGGAGCACCTCATCCTCCCTAGCTGAAGCTAGTGCTCCCAGTCCAACCAGTGCAGTGCCAGCCATGGGTAGGACCCCACAGCCTAGGATCTGACCCAACACAGACATAAAGATATGGCATGTCCCCAGTGCCCCATCCAACACCAGCCCAGCTGTGCCCTGCACTCTGCCACTGTGCACTGGGCCATGCCCATGGGTGTTATGTGGGTGTCCCACTGCGCATCCTGTCTCCCCTTCCCTTCAGCAGGGTGACGAGGTGGTGGAGGAGCTGGTGGCACAGGGACGAGCCTTCCTTGCCCAGCTGCAGGCAGAGCTGGACCTCAGCACCCCTTTTGAAGCCACAGAGCCACAATGGGCACCTGGAGAACTATCAGGGACCCCTGCACCGAGCCGTGAGCCCTGGGAACTTGGGGGGCTGGGGCCAACGAGGCAGTGGGGTGTTCAACCTCCAGCTGGCTCCATGCCCGGGCAGTGCCCACTGGCTGCATCCCTGCTGCTTGCTGGTTTCATCACACACCTCTCGGCTACAGGGTCCACGCTGAGGGAGAAACGTGAGCTGATGTCCCCAGAGCTTTCCGGGATGGAGGAGAAGGAGGAGGCAGGCATGGGCAGAGGTAAGTGTACTGCAGCCCCGGCCACTGGGGCATGCCCCACGCCACCATGGGGACAGTGGCAAGCCCTCTCTCAGCTTTGCACCCCAGCCCTAGGGCTGGTTGTCCCATCTCAGTGGGACAGCCCTCAGGCACATCCCCCGGCGTCTCCATAGCGTGGGTGCTCCTCCCTGGGGTGGTCAGCAGCGTGGTGCCCTCACGGCCCGTCCCTGATGTCCCTTCCCCCCCGCCCCTGGGGTTGCAGCCTGCCCTGGCCTCAACGCGTCGGCCGTGCGGGTGGGTGCCGTGCGGGAGCTGTACGCCTGGGTGCTGCGGGTGCCCGAGCCGGACCTGGCCATGACCTTCCAGGAGGTGAGCCCAGCTTCTCTGAGGTGCCCGCTCCGGCAGCCAGGTGCTGCCACCCCCCAGCCCGTCACCATCGCCTGTGCCCCTGGCTCACCTGCCACTCATGGTGTTGTCATCTCTCCGCAGATCCTGGTGGACTTGGGGTCCAAAAATGCCAAGGGGCTGTACCGGGCACAGGTGCGGGCCACGGTGGGGGGCCGCCTCACAGCCTTCACTGGCCTGGTGGGGCTGGAGAGCGACTCGCTGGCCCGCAGCATGCCCGGCCTCGTCGCTCTGGCACTGGAGGCACTGAAAACATAATGGTGCCCCTGGGGGCAGGGCGCTGGGGTAAGGGTCTCACGTGTCCTTCAAACACAGATCCCTCCCCAGCTCAGGCTCTTCCACCCTTTTGTCCCCCATTGTACCTCAGTTTCCCTCTTCCCACTTGCACTGCCCAACCACCCTGGGGCAACAGAGTGCCTGGGGTGGCATATGCAGCATCTCAGCTGGGGACCCACCTCAATCCTCCCCTCCCCTGGGACCCCCACCTTGGCAAGCTCCTCTTCTCCCCAATTCCTCAGAGGCACCTGGGCTGTTATTTATTTGTACAGAGAAAGGTTTATTTTTCAATAAAGAAGGGCTCTATTTTCCGGTAGTCCGAGCGTGTGAAGCGAGCACTGTGTCACTGGTGCTGGGGAGGTGGGTGCCGGTGGGGGACTTTCCATGGGGATACGACATCCCACTGCACCCCTCTTCCTTTCCCCCTGTACCCTGAAGCAGTGCCCTCAGCCTCGGTCCCTGCCCCTGGCACCGGTGCTGTTCCCAGACTGGCACAAGCTCTGCTCCCTGGGGGTTGGACACTCTCCCTGCCCAGCACAGCACAAGAGCACCTGGTGCCACCCCTTTGAGGACCCACATGAAACCTCCTGCTAGTGCAAGGGCCAAGCATGCCAGTGCCTGGGTGGTGCCACCTCCGTGCTCGGCCATCGGTGGGTATCACCCCCTCCTGTTCGTGGGGAGTATGCCACCCTTGAGCGGCATCGCTGGGGCCGAGCAGTAGAGAAGGGACAGCTCCTCCCTCTTCCCAGCGATGCCCATGACAGAGTGGCCAGAGGCAGGGTGATGGGCTG